TAAATATAATATATGTTAAAAAGAAAATTTTTAATTAAGCACGATTGTCACGTTGTTAAAAATCAATTAAACGGGAGTCACGGTGAAATATACTCGTATCACAAATGAATTTTAAACCAAAAATTTGTTTTTACAGTTGTGCGTGTACCTATTTTCTGTTTGAATATAAACCTATTTGGTAAGCATAGCGCGCTACCGTCCTGTGTAACGTTTACTTAAAATTAAAATTAAAATTCTCACGGATGAGATGGAACAGTAAACATACACTTTTGCACCGGCTTTAATGCCGGTATTGTTTAACTTTGTTAGAAAAAAAGAAGAGGGAGGGGAGGGAGAAGAGAAGGGAAAACAGAAGAGAGAAAAAGAAGGAGAAAGAGAGAAATTTCAAGTCTGTGATTATACTACGAAAATCAGTTGCTTGGAAAGAGGCGAAACGAGATATTTGGCGTCGTGGATATTTGGAAAACCTTGCTCTTCAAATTTCATTTTATTCAACTTTGAAGAAAGGGGAGAAAGCGCGTGGGAAGCGAAAAGGGACAAAGCGATGGTAATTTTTATCACGCCCGTTTTTTTTTTTTATTCCAAAAATGTTTAGAACCTGAAAATAAATTTCGAGGCAATTACAAAATAACGCTCGTCGTTTACGCTGTTTTCGTATGACAAAGTTACGGATGTCCCTCTTTCGTTTTTTGTTTCATACTGTGTTTAACTGTGTTTTACGTTTTTCTTCCTTTATTGCACGCATATTTTTATAAAAGGATTACAGTTATGATGTTTACATTTTATTTTCACGTGGCAACGATGAAACGAAGCTGTCCACACAAATCAGTTTCGTAATATATTATTCTACGTATGACCATTCGCAAATTAATTCATTTAATTCAAATTGGAAGCTCAATTATACAACCTTCGTATATTTATTCGTTTATATTTTAACATTTTCATAGAGAATAGAATAATGACTCATTTTCCTTAACCTTTCGATAAAAAAATATCAAACAAATTTAAAACGCGAAACTAAACTTTAACAACGCGTTTAAATAAATTATCACTCGTCCCAAACAAACTTTCCCTTCCTCCCTCGCTAAAAAAAAAAAAAAAATATCAAGATCCACGAAAAGACATACGATTCCAGCTCCTGAAGGAGAAAAAAAAAAAGCAAAGAAAAGAGAAGACAATTCTAAAAATCCCTACGCTTTGAACAATAAATTATCATTCGTCCTCGAAAGAAACTTCCTCCGCGATCTTTCTCATAAATTCACATTCTATCGCGCGTTAATCACAATTTCTGGCCGAAAGAGAGCCGAGCGTTCCACCGAACACCGGGAGAAGCAGGCGGCGGTATACACCGGTATAATTCAAGGCGCTAATTGAATGGTAGAATTCAAGCGAAGCGGCCGTGACAGTAACGAGGATGTGTATCAGCTCTCATAGAAATCGGCCCCGTGATTCCTCCTATAGATTATAATCGTAGACGTTGCGCACAGGTGGCAAAGATCGGAATCGGTAAGATGAATGGATCGGATATTAATAGAGCCGAGTGCATGAGGCGATTAATTATCGATTAATAATAAGACCGGTTAATTAGCCGATTAATATTATAGGCTTGGCTAAACGTCGGTGGCCAATTTGCGGTAATTACTTAATCGTACACGGGGGGGATGGAAGGGGCGACACGGTAATCCTTAGATCGGCAATCGACAGTCAAACCTGTTTCGAACCGCTATCGTCCCAATGTCCCGTTACGTATTTCTCGAGAATAAAATTCGTGAATAAAATTTTCGAATCAAATTTGTAAAGTATGTAAAGTATTTACTTTTATCTTACTTTGATTTCGATTTGACGAAAAATTATAGTATGATATATTTTTATACATATAATAAAATAAAACTTTCGAGTTCTTCGAATCAAATTTGTAAAGATATTTATTTTTATTTTACTTTGATTTCTGAATTTAACGAAAGATTTTTATATAAAATAAAATTTTCGAGTTCTTTAAATCAAATTTGTAAAGTATGTAAAATATTTATTTTTATTCTACTTTGATTTCTAAACTTAACGAAAAGATTACGTACGATACTTTTTAGTTGGGATAGATATTGGAAAGAGTATATTTAATCAGAGACGATTGTAATAATTTTATAGAATAATTGTAATTGCATTGAATTTAAGAGATTGTGCATCTTAATTACCCTTACAGTTCGACTTATCCACTGTTCGAGATTTTGGGAGAAAATTTTCGAATCACATTTATATTTAGAAATTATGTATCGTTCGTAGCTTGGGAATCGAAATAAATATCGACGAAAGCAAAGTAATACGGTTCGCCACAATACTCGACGAGAAATTTCATTACTGAAACGTAACTAACGCTTCGTACCTATTATTCCATCAATTTAATCATCATCATTTAAGAGGCACGGGAGAGATGAAATTGAGTGGTGCGGCGAGATTAATTAAAATTGTTAAAGTGATGGAGAGCGTGAGATAGGCTCCTAAAGCGATAAATTCTCTTCAAGCCTGACGACAGAAGCGGACAATAAGTATCACGGTTCATTCATCTTGTTTACGATCGAACGGTCAAGCTTAATTTTATCGAATAATTAGACGTTAACGCACAGACTGATTACGCGCATAGGCGTCTTCGGCGAGCTACGCGATACACGTGAGATTCAAGCAACAAAGACGAGGTTCAAAGAGCTTGTAAATCAAGGGGTTTCGGGGACGGCTTATGGGACGTTTATCACGTTTTCAAGTCCATTTCCCGTCCGCACAGTGATCTGTAACTGTAAGCACGAACATTCATCCATGAAATTTTAACGATTTTTCGATACGTTAAAACTTATGCCCGCGTATTATGATTTCTTTTTTATCAATGAAAATTTATACGAAACGAGATAGATCTGTGCGTGCAACGTTATTATCACGATAATAATTCTTAAATAATAACGAAAATTTTAAGATAGATGAATTTATGTAAATATCTAAATTCAATATGTCTGGTCTGATATTTCAATCGACTAAAAAAATGGAAAATGAAAAACGAGAAATATATATATATATACATAAATTAATCGATCGTAATAAAAAAGAATTCTTTGACATCAATTTACACCTATTACGTTATTTGTCCTCGTAGGAGGTTATAAATCACGGAGGGTAGCGTTATTAGTAACGTCAGCGATTTCCCGACGAGTATTAATTCTTTCAGCGTCGTTCGTGATATTTGCAGGATTACAAATCAATATTGCAATTACCATCTATCAAGAAAACCGTTTGTTGTACGTATAATCGATGCGTGAAATGAATTACGATGTTTAAAGTTGCGCGCCGCGTTTTGCGCGCAATAATACAATCGGGACGATAAATGGCAACGTAATGCAAGAACATGGCGATTCCATTCACCAGCGTTTCTCGTGGAAAAAAATGGGAGGAAAAAAAAAAAAAAAGAAGAAAGAAGGTACGCCGTGGTTCGATCCTGGAATACAATAATACTCTTTGCACGTCTTGCGAGAAGACTATTTTTTTTTAAAATAAATTCTTCCTTTTATATATATATATTATCTATGCATAAAAATTTGTAAATATAAAATTAATTGTATCGAGCACGTTATCTCGAAAAAAATCTTGGAACGGGCAAAAGAAGAAAATTCGCAAGAATATACGAGATAAGAATTATTTATTTATTTATTTATTTATTATTTCCTTGATAATTTTGAGGAAGCGTGATTTAATTAATGATACGATTCTTGTAACTGTTACGATTGCTAGTGGATTCTCTTAAGCAACCGTGTGCAATGCGAAAAATTAAAAATTACAAATATAGTGCGTGCTGAATTTGGAATTTAGCCGTGTATCGATGTAAATGATTTTTAGTTTACAATTAAGAGTTTGGCTCTCATGAATCACGAAATGTCTAATTCCAGGAAGCAGATATGTAATACAGTGAAATATCAAGCATCATTTATAACGTAGTAGCTTTTCGTGTTTTGCGCTTATCGCTTAGATAAGAAGTTAACACATGTAACGTGATTAATTAAGTTATCCCTGCCCATAAATTATCATCCGAAATAATTTCATTTTTAATGTGGTGTAATTTGTATTCACGCTGGCAATGATTAAAAAAAAATATATATAATGTATGTAATAACATGATATAAAATAATTTGCATTAACTATGATGCAAAGCGTGGAAATATTTATAATTTTAATTAATGTTTCGTAAGAGAAAGTATAAATAATTATTAAATTTCTTTATCGAAAGTGTTGTTAAATTAAAATGAATTAAAATTTATAAAATAAGCGTTTAAAAGATTTATATTTGGATAGACTTGGAATAAACTTGTCGTAATACGCCTCGGATTTAATTTTTAATTTATACCGTGTTATATCTCCATGTTTCATCGCTTGAAATAATAATTTTATAAATTATTGTTATAAATTTTCTCGTCTCTTTATCACAAGCCAGCCAAAAGCTTATATATTAACCGCCTCCGCTTAATATATGCAAGTATTCCACCAAATAACGGGAATAAACTTTCACTTTATAAAATCAATCAACGAATATAATTACCTTTCATAAAATCGCATAAACGTTAATCGAGAACTATCCAAGAGAATATTAATTCTAATAGCAAGAACCAATTGTTAATTAACTGATAAACTGATCGTTTTATACATAAATATCGTCTACAAATCTTATTATCGATCTACCAATCGACTATTAATCAATCCGTACAAGAACCTATTTCCACTTCAAAATACCCATCAAACACATCCGGAACAACTTTCACCTCATATCATCAAAATCAATCAACAAACATCGTTGTAACCTTCGCGTTACAAAATCGCGTAAAAAAAAAAAACCGATCTTCGTTTTATATCAAAAATCACTCCTCAAAAATCATTTTCACTTTTTTTCGCGAGATCGCACAAAACAAAACCAAAAAAAAAAAAAAAAAAAAGAAAAAGAAATTAAAAAGAAAAATCAATATCTCGAGCTCAAGTGATCAAAGGTGAAGGAGGCAAACACGAAACATCGAAACGACGTCCAACGGAAACAGAATATCCCCAGAAAAGTATGAGAGGGAGCCAGCCGATCGGTGGAAGCGTGGAGGCAGTGATCCGGTGAAGCATCTTCACGGAGGGAGGAACGTAACGAGGAGGAAAGGGAAGGGCGAGGAGAAAAGAGCAACGGAGGAGGGTTCAGTGGCAATAGCAGGAAGAGAACGCGCGGCAAAGGAATAATTCCCCGTGTTTCCAAGGAACGCGTTTCGAATTACCGGCGGATCGCGTTGCATTCTGTTCGTCGCGCTTGGCTAGCACCGAGCAAATCTAATTCCTTTCGGACTCTCGGGTGCCGAACTCCTCCTCCTCCTCCTCCTCCTTTTAACCGCTCCCCCCTTTTCCTTCCGCCCGCTCTTTTCGCTTTGTTTTTCCGACCCCGGATCCCTTCCCTCTTCACGGATGGCTATCCGCTTGTCCTTTGTTCCCCTTGATCATCCTTTCTCTTAACTTTCCTCCACCATGGGCGTAACCATCGCCCAGGATGAATGGGTTGAATGGCTTGTCCTCCTTCCGAGGATGATGTCTGGACGACGTAGGATATCGTACTTTTTTCGAATACAATGGCCGGGGTTTTTTTGGAAAAAAAAAAAAAAAAANNNNAAAAAAAAAAAAAAAAAAAAGATTCCATCACGTTAATATAATTTCTTTTCTTTTCTTTCTTCCCTCCTTTTTTTCATCTTCTTAATACTAATTTTTCGAAAATCAATCTCCCCAACATTCTTCTTGTTGATTGAGAGAACAATATAAATAAAATGTACGGATTTAATTGAACGAATAATATTTAATTGTACGCGTAATTGCGCGTACCTGTTTACAAAAAAACAGTGTATGAAGTGCGTGTATCGTAAGAGAAAATAAATAGCAACTATGAAACATTGTAACTTTGTCACTTTGAATAAAATTTCAGTGAACTTTAAATTCTATAACACTTCCTTCTTTTTTTTTTTTTTACGATCTTATTTCCACGATATTATTTCTTTCGTAATGACTCGTGATATGAATTCACGCTCATTGCACACAAGGTATGCGATTGATCTTTTCTAGGAACAGCATTACACGCCAGATGTGCGATCGGTCTCGAACGGGTTAATCATCCCTTTTTCTTCTCCTTTCCCATCTCTATCCCTCGCCCCATTGTTCCATCTTCTCCCATTTCCCTCTATCCTTCCTTCCTTCCTTCCTTCCTTCCTTCCTTCCTAGACTCGAGACTCACTCCTGCCTCTTTCCACCTCCTCCTCCTCCTCCTCCATCCTCTTCCGTCCTTCTGGCCGCCTCGCTCGGCCAGATTTCCCGGATTCCCGAGGGAGGAGACGTCGAATCTACGGACCGATCGGCGTGTACCTTTTAGCGCTCAACGCTCTCCTTACTCCCGGGAAATCCACGCCCCGAATACTCGATATTATCTCGATCGTAGAATTCTAAGAACGAGCCTAGCCCGATTTTCCTTCCCGCTCCCTTTCCACCGTTTGCCCGGGTCCCGGCGACGAGCCTCGGCCGCGGCAAATCCGCGCCACGCCGGCGACCCCTCGATTTACCGCGCCGATTCGGGACGGCCACCACCACCACCACCACCACCCCCCTCCGATAAGCTTTGCCCGCTTCATTCTCGAGATTGCGCCGCGGCCACCGATTCGTGAAAATAACTTCAACAGTTGCCTCGATCCTTGGGACACACGATCGGATCGACGATGACGAGGAGGACGACGACGACGACGATGGCGGCGTTTCATCGGATCGGAATATCGGCTGTAATAATAATAATAATAATAATAATCGTGGATGAGTCGCGTGCTTGTTTTTGAAATGTAGAAACCGTGGGGGGGGGGGAATGATTTGGATTGTAATAAGGACGGTGGTGGTGGATGGTAATTAGATTCGTTTCGCGTGTGTGCAATCCGTGTAGGATTGTAAGTAAGTATTGGACGTCCGTTAGGGAATGGTGTGGTACGATAATTGACCTAAATTGTCGGGGAGATGATTGATCGGGTAAAATTTGAAATTTGTATTTTGGTTCGTGTATATCTGTGTTTGGGATTCGTATTGTTTTTTTTTTTTTTTTTTTTTTTAATTCAGTGATGCAATTCTTTCGAATAATTTGGTAATAAATTTGTTGTTATTCTGAGAAACGATTATTTGGTAGTATTGCGTATTATATCATCTTTCTTTATTTTCTTTATTTTTGTGTATTTTCATATTTATCGATGATCTAAGGACAATACTGTTTTGTGATTTTTATTTGGATTAAAGGATTCGTAAATCTAGTCGATTGAATGAAAATACAATTTATTTCGATCAAAGAATTTTTTACATTAATATATTTTAATTTATTTGTAATATATAATTAGTAAGACAGTTGTGAGCAATATTCAATAAATATATTTATTCTTATAATCGCGCGATTTATCTTAGAATTTGATTAAATCCTACTAAAATTAGGAAAAATTTGAACCGCTCTAACTTGAAAAATAATAACTTCCGGTTAATGAATGAACGATCATTAGAAGCGCGAAACCTTGCCCTTCAAAGCGCTTTTTCATTTATCCCGATACGACTTCCGGTTTCTAAAATATCAACGTGTAAAGAGAAGGTAATTTTTAACCATTCACCTTCACCTCAATTAAACCTTATTAAAATTTGGAAAAATTCGAATCGCTGTAACTCCGAAGATAATGACTTCCGGTCGATGAGCGAACATCGTCAGAAGCGCAAAACCTTCCCCTTTAAAACACTTTTTCATTTATCCCGATACGATTTCTGGTTCTCGAGATATCGTCGTGTAAAGAAAATGGTAATTTTTAATAGTTTACTATCCTCGTCCTTGTCGCTTACTCGGACCTCTCGCTCGTACCTCGCCTGATTGACCTATCCCAAACTCTAGACAAGCGACAGACGCGATTCCTAGAAAAACGTAGTACGCGTTTCCAGGAAAAAATATAGGTCGCGAGCCCATTCATAATCTCTAACGCTATATTAAGCATTATGAAAACTTTGAGCCCTTATATCTCGGCAACCGATTGAGATATCGGAATGAATCAAAAACCGATTTCAATGGCATAATTTCCTCTATTTCCTGACACGGTTCAGAGAACAAAATTTTTAATTTTTTCTCGAAAAATTTCTACACTTTGAAGAGTCAAACTTTCGCGAATCTATCTGAATGCAATGATCTGTTGTTGTGATAAATATATAAATATACAAGAATACAATTTATATACAAGAATACAAAATATATGACATATTTTCACGTTAGAAAAACACTTGTACAGTTTTACCTACGTACAAAATCGACGATCTAATTATTCGTAAATCTCGCTGTGTAAAAGATCACGTTCATAAAACGATCAGGATTTCGTTCGCATGCATTGGACCAAGCGCCATAGGCGATGTTGCGGATAATGTCGGTCCCACGGAGCGCAGCCGCATTTTCGTAAGATCCCCCCCGTTACCCGTGCAATCAATCTGTTCCATCTATCCTTTCTTTTTTCTCCGCTAAGTAAACGGACGCCCTGGAACGGCACGTTCCCAGACTACCGTCTCGACTACTACGCAGAGACGCAACGGCGCCACCGAGACGCACTCCTTCGATCGGATTCCTAGCCTCCACTTACGTTGCAGGAATTCCTATCTCCTTTGCGTCCTCCTCCGTTGCAGTTTCCTCCATCCCCTTATTCGAGGAACGACTCGGCTCTGAAATTCGCTGGCCGACCAGCGAGCCCTAGAAAATGCATGGCTGGCTTAATTGCCATTTCAGACCGAATTCATCCACGAATCCATTCGTTCGGCTACCTAATCGGACAAAGATTTCCCTTCTTCCTTTCCTCTTTGCGCCTGTTCTTTTTTTCTTTTTTCGGCTATTTCAGCCAACTATTCGAGGGAGAACTATAGCGTTTCTTGGGTTTTTAGGGGTGGATGGTGAAAGAGATATTATTCGAGATAACGTTATAGCTTTGTTTGTTGACTTAGGGTGTTTGATGTTCGATTTCTTCAGGTTTTTTTCGAGATGTAATTTGTATAAATGTAATTTGATGTTTTTTAATTAGAAAATTATAAAATAATAAAATAATTATAAAATTATGAAAGAATTAGGATAATGAGTGTATTGTTTATTGTTACTATACTACATGTCAATGAAATATAATTAGTATTTAAAAAGAAAGAAAAAATAAAATTTGAAATTAATAAAAATTATATTAAATTATTTGGAAATTTTCATTCTAATCTAATAATTTATCGGATGCTGTAATATTATCTGTAATATCTCGCTTGATTCTGGAAATATTAAAAAATTTTTTAGACAAAAGTCAAATGGTTTCAAAAGGACTATAATATTATGTAATTATTTTTTTTCTTGAAGAATGCATAGAGGTTATATGAAGATCAATATAATTTTTTTAAATAAGTTTGTATACTTTTTAATGCATAGGTAGATGCAGCATATTATTCTCTACAAAAAATTATTAAGCTATATATATTAAAAAGCTATTAGTTTCGAAGATATTTAATTAAAATTAAATATTTCGTAAATTAATAATTTTTCGTCATATATATTTTAATAATTTTTTATAGAGAATAATATGCTGCATCTACTTATGCATTAAAAAGTATATGATTCTATTTAAAAAAGTAAAGTTGATCTTTATAAATCTGTCATGCTTCCACATAAGAAAAAATTAATAATATTAAGATATAGCCCTCTTGAAATCATTCAACTTTTATCTCAAACATTTTTTAATATTATGAAGAATAAATGAGATATTTCACATATTTACATGAGACACCCGGTATATACAGAATTCTTAAAAAATAAAAAATATTCAAACACATTCATCAATACAAAAAGATGTCATTCATCGTAAATGGTAAGTATAAAAAAGGTAAGTATCTTAGTATTAAGAAAACTGTTGAAAAAACGATTTAAAATAAAAAAAAAAGAAGCAGCTTTAGGTAAGTATTAGGTAAGTATTAGGTAAGTATTTTTAGTTTAGCAAAGTATAAAAAATTTTATAAAAAATTCCAATTTTTAAAATTTTCAGAATGACTTCGCGTGCCACCTCCGATCCAATTATATTCTCCTGATACAAAATCGAAATTTTGGCAAAATTTCTCCCTCAGAATTCCACGAAAAATTTCGCGTGCACCTCCTATCCAATTATATTCTCCTGATACAAAATCGAAATTTTGGCAAAATTTCTCCCTTAGAATCCTCCGAAAATTTCGCGTGCCATCTCCTATCCAATCATATTCTCCTGATACAAAATCGAGATTTTGGCAAAATTTCTCCCTTAGAATTCCCCGAAAAATTTCGCGTGCCACCTCCTATCGAATCATATTCTCCTGATACAAAATCGCAATTTTGGCAAAATTTCTCCCTCAGAATTCCCCGAAAAATTTCGCGTGCCACCTCCTATCCAATCATATTCTCCTGATACAAAATCGAAATTTTGGCAAAATTTCTGCTTTAGAATTCCCCGAAAAATTTCGCGTGCCACCTCCTATCCAATTATATTCTCCTGATACAAAATCGAAATTTTGGCAAAATTTCTCCCTCAGAATTCCCCGAAAAATTTCGCGTGCCACTTCCTATCCAATCATATTCTCCTGATACATAATCGAAATTTTGGCAAAATTTCTCTCTTAGAATTCCCCGAAAAATTTCGCGTGCCACCTCCTATCCAATTATATTCTCCTGATACAAAGTTGAAAAATGAGACAGAAAATTTTTGGTCGAATTTATGATTTTGTAATAGGAGAATATAATTTGACAGGAGGTGGCATGTGAAATTTTTCCATCAATTCTGGGATGGAAATTTTTCTTCAAATTTTTAATTTGTATCAGGAATATATAATTCTAAAGGAGGTATTGCACGAAATTTTTCTTGAATTTAATATACTTACCTTTTATACTTACCTTTTATACTTACCTTTTTATACTTACCTTTTTATACTTACCTTTTTATGCTGACATATCGATGGAAACTGTTATTTATCATTTTTTCAACATTTTACTTAAATCTAATTATTAAAGTTAATATATTATACTTACCTTTTACATCCTTATCTTTTTCTAAGATGTTATTGCTGGGATCTGCAAAAAAGAAAATACAAAATATTAATAAAAAAAGTAATCTATAAAAAAGTTAATTTATATGTTAAATATATATTCATATTTTACCTGAAATGCTTTTTAATATTTCCAAAAATAAATAAGATATATTCCAGGTGATAAAATTATCTACTTGGGACTTTTTATAATTAAAAATTAAAAGGCATTTAACGACAAGTTTTTTTTAATTCGAATAAAGAAATATTTCACGTCTCGAATATTGAATTGATCGTTTAAGACAAAATAAGTATAGAAATTTGAATCTCGTCGAGAATTCAACTTCGTTCGACTTGTCACACGATTAAACGTGATTCGTTAAAAAAGACGTTAAGAAGGTACAAAGGCAAAAATTTTTAGCAACAGCGTGACACAAAAACTAGCAAAAGGATGAAGAGAAAAGAGACTCGGCCAACAATGGGGAGAAAGAACGGACTAGGTGCAAAGAAATTACGGTTGGAAAGGATTGTCACGGAACGAGATCGACTTTTCTTTTCCTTAGTCGAAAACGAGATCGACTTTTGGAAAGGGAATCCTTCTAAAAAGAAATCCTTATTCCGTATAATTACGCGGAAGAGCCATTGCTAAGAAGCCACGAAATAGTAGCTAAAGAATGCTTCGGTAGATGAAAGAGAATACCAATACGATAAGCAGTTAAGCAGTTAAGCAGTTACTTTGAGGTGTAATAATAAATTAAGCGATTATTGTTATTTTTAAAGAATTCACAGCCCTTTTTAATGTTTTTACTCGTTTGAGAGAAAGAATTTCAAACTGGCACTGCTTTCATTTTTTTGTAATATAATTTCTTACTTATTAAGCAAGAACTGAAATAATTGGCGAACGAAGAAATAATGGTATTACTGTGAAGTTGCGAATTTTTACGATCTCATATCAAAATAATATTTTATTTTATTGTTTAAAATAAAATAATTTATTGTTCAAAATCATACTTAATATCATAGTAATAATTCATTAAATTAACGACATCTCTTTGTAAGTAATGCAATTTAAAAGTAATTGAAATACGATAAGAATTTCTTTATCGCCATTAAGCGATTTTATTCGTTATTTAATTTTCCCTTTCATTAAATAAAAATCGATCTTCTCAGAATCTTGTCTTAAAAATTATCCTTCTTCTTATTCTTTGAATTATAAAAACGAATCTAACTAAGTAAAATTAATTGAATCCAACAATAGATATCAAAAACTGGATAAAATATATTCATATTTTTATCTTAATTTTTTGAATTTACGATTAAAAAAAAAAAAAGGAGAACAAATCCTCCCCAAAAATTAAAAATTAACTTGCCTTTTTTTCCCCTCTTCGACGACAATTTCTCTCGTCTTTTTTCCAGATCTCTCCTCTTCACATCTCACGAAGTTGTTTAAAAACACAGCAGGCAAATCTACTGATCTAACATCCATCCACACGCAATTCAACTCGACTACGATTCCACGAATCGTACGTCGCACGTCGAAGCCACCAGCATTCCTAAGCATAAACTCCAGGGGAACGTTTTACATTTGTCGTGAACAGGGGGAGGGGAGGGAGGGCCAACCTGAGCCGTCCCCCGGGCACTGTACACCTATCCACTGACACAACGTTACACCCAAGTTGAGGCGACGTGCGTAGCCGGAACTCGCGCCTCTTCCCGGAACTCAACCCGCGCCATTCTGCTGGCGGCGCGTTTTCCTTGGGAGCACGGTCGAGCAGAGATCTGGTATCTAATAACGCGATGCCTGCCCCTCCCTCCTCCCTCGACAACGTCCATCCTCCCTCGTCGACAGATCCTTTCTCACGACAAGGAAGCTCGATTTTCCAACATCCTCTTGTGCGCTTTACAAGCGAGCGTAAATTCCCTCGTTCCCTCGTCGATGGGACAAGTTTGGATACGGCGGCAGGTGCCTTGATCGTGAATCGTTTTAATGATCAGGGGTGATCTTTCTAGCGCGAAATTTCGCTCGATTAATAATTTTTATTTTATTTTTTATTTTTATTTTTATTTTTTATTTTATTATATCGATTAAAGATCGGGGGTGGAAGAAAAATTTTTTTGGAACGCGCGTGTTTGATATTTGCATAAAAAAATTTTTGGTTCAGTGAAAAGTTATAATTTCAATTATTTGTTTTCGTATATTTATATTTTGATATTGGAGATTATTTATTCGTGGGGAAATTTACGAAAATTACGATTGGATTTTTATGATAAATTTGAAAAGTTTGGGAAGGAAATCGTCAATGTAAAATTAGTTGAAGCATAATTGAGTGAAAGGTACGGTAGTTACAAGGATTCGTAAAAAATGTTAAAAGAAGAAATTTATTTCGTTAATACTCGTTATCGAATCTGTAACAAAAGTACGTAATTTCGTTATTTTAATATTGCTGTAACGGGGAAAGAATATCGGGCAATTTCAACTTTAAACACGAAACGAGAACATTAGATTTCGAAATTTGAAATTTACCGAAAATCTATCGTTACAGGAATAATTGACTATGTGTATAGCACGAAATCATTCAGCTGCACCGATATCGATATGAAACGCGTGCGAATGTGCCATTCGGATTTCGAAACTTCGTACTGTTCGTTATAAATTTACACTTTAGTCACCCATTTCGAATCCAGAAATCGATTCTATTCAAACATTACAACGAGAACCGGAGAGCAAATACCATTTTCTCCCCTACATTAGAACAGGGAAAGGATATTCTTATTACTTAAAATTGTAAAAAGATCTATCAAAAACTGTAATACCTTTCGTATGTACAAAATATAAATTTTACGTATCCGCTTCACCAACGTTTCCCGAAACATTCATCATTCTACGAAAGAAACTTTAAATACCTCATCGAACCCTTTATTAACCCTTCTTACCATTTTCGAAACGACGCGCGCGAAAATCTAATAAAGAAAAATTACGCCGTCGCGACATCTCTTCTCGTCGAAGGAGGGAGGGGGGTGGGGGAAGCGAAAAATGATCTAAAAAAAAAAAAAAAAAAAGAAAAACGAGGAAATCAGATATGCAAAAGCTCGCCACGTGCCCTCTTAACACGTACACTCGCGCGTACATTCCGCACACACGCGTGCCACGGAGGAGAAGAGGGAGAAAGCGCTGCCAGACGCAGTAAATTTTATCGGCCGGATAAGAGGGCGAAGTTGTAGAGAATGCTCGTAAAGATACTTTACTGTATATTTACATCCCTACGTATAATACGTTACGTGAGTTAATACCGTCCGTTAAGTGAATCGAAAGACGGTTCGAACGCGTATTTTCGCCGGATTCGATCGATGATAAGGGGGAGGGGAGGGGAGGGATAAGGCGAAAAGGAAGGAGAAAGAGAGGGAAAAAATATATATGGACCTCGTATATATATATATCCACGATTGGAGTGTCGGTGATTTTCTTCTTTCAAGAAGAAGAAGAAGAAGAAAAAGAAGAAGAAGAAGAAGAAGAAAAAGGGTTAACCCATCCCTTTCCCCTCTATGGTTGAAAACGTTCGTGGGTGGATGAGGGAGGGAGAGGGTAGGGTGCCGGTTCGTGGTGATTCGAAATTGGAAAATTATCGGCGCTCGATTAATCGGCGTGATTCCCTGAACGTATTGATACACGGATACGTAGCGCGAGACAGCTCGTTTCCGGCGCTCACCCCCTGGATGACGTCTGGACCTGCTTGCGCGTTTGATTTAGTGCTCGGATGACAAAAGTCGATTGGCCGACACCCGGGAAATTGACGTGGCTCCCGTTCCTGCTTCGATCGTAATCGTTTGATCTTGTTAATCATTCCGTGGTATATAATTTTGGATTCGTAGTAGTCGCGTCGAATTTCGTTTTTTTTCTTTTTTTTTTTTGAATGAAGGGAAAATTTCTTCTTTTACCGATCGAGCGATCGAGCGTGCAGAGTTGTTGATTTGTTGTCGATTTCGTTCTGGAATAATTTTTCACTCGTTACGTCGTTACACGGAATTTTGTGTGAATTTTGTAAATAATTTTGTGTGTAAAAATTTTCGAATAAAAAATTATCGATTATATATATATATATAAGTATAGATATAGAGTAGTGTAAGTGTAGCGCGATGAATTTGATTTGATGTTGAATTTTGATTTAATTATCGAGTTATTGATATGATTTGGGAGAAAATATTTTTTTTTTTTTTTTTTATCTAAATGCATTTTGTATCATCGGATCAAGAAATCGATTTCGTTAAACGTTAAACGCGATCGTTTGATGTGTACACGATACGAGTCGTAATGAGAGCAAAAAAGCCAGATGGTTTAGACATGCATGGATATCGGAATCTGATTCTATTGTCCCGCGACGCGTCACTTTGCGTTTAAGTTTAAGCCAGATAATTAATCTCACAGACTGTTGAAATTGAATTTCCTTTAATCCTCTAGTTCACCTCTAGTACATTCTAAGAAAAAGAAGCATCCACTCTTTCCAAACCCTTTATATCAATTTCCCCGCTTTCTATAAAATATTTCTTCGATTTCTTCTCGAGAAAACTCATCGATACACCTCCACACCTCGCTTAAGAATCCCTTCGAATGAAATACAAATTAAATAAACTACCTATCAAAAAAAAACAATAATAACAAATTACCTATCTTTCTATCTAAAAAAAAATTCTTAAACTCACCCTTAAAATCAACTACCAATTATTCAACTTATCCCTTTACCTAATTCCTAATTTAATCGATCTCACAGATTCAAGAAATCAAAATCGAAAACGATATCGAGAATTTTCCGATCTGCAAAAGGATCCGCTAATTCCCCTTCTCCCTCCAAAAAGAAAGAAAGAAAGAAAGAAAGAAAAAGAGAAGAAGAGGGGAAGAGAAAGAGAGAGAGAGAGAGAGAAAAAACAAGCATCACACAGAATCCATCCGCGGATTATTCCACGTTACTCCACCCCTTCCGGCGGAACGTTCGATTATAAATATATCGGAGAACACGTTGACCGCGCGCCGGTGGTCTGATCAGCGGCGCT